TAAGACTTATTACAGTGGGCGTCGGATGGCCATGATTTCCATCCATTGAATGAGCTTAGACATTACCTTGAGTATGACATATGACGAACAGTGCATAATGGTACTCGACACCGTCTTCTTATCGTTATCGCCGCTATCGAGTCAACCAAGCCATTTTATTCCACCAACTATTACAAACAAACCATAAAATGTCAGATTCAAGAGCATCGCGGTTCACGCCGCAGAATAAAACTACCAATGAACGACTCTCTACGCATACGGTCGGTCTCGTTGCCCTCTCCGATTTTCGCAAGCGACGCGCCGAAGTCCTTGAACAACAGGAGCGTGAATCTCGAGAGGCTGCGTTTTCAGGCACGTCCACTCCGGATGCTTCCTTGACAGGCACTCCTGACAACGCTGGCAGTGATTCTGGAAGTGGTGCGCAACCATTGAAGAAGAAAAAAAAGAAGCCGGGGAAGAAACTCTTATCATTCGACGATGACGAGGGTGAGGATGAGGGCCCATTGACAAAACCGGCGAAGACCAAGAAGGCTCGCGCAGGCGATACCGAAGGTAATGAAGGCGAGGTCAAGACCAAATTCAAGGCAAATGCTTCGGTGGGCATAGTGCCCAAAGCCATGACGAAAGCTGCGTTGCGCAAGGAAGCCGCTGAACGAGACGCATTACGCCGCGAATTCTTGGCTATACAAGCAGCCGTCAAAGCAACCGAGATTGCGCTACCTTTCGTATTCTACGACGGGACTAATATTCCTGGGGGAATCGTCAGATTGAAGAAGGGCGACTTCATATGGGTGTTCCTCGACAAAAGTCGCAAAGTTGGCGCCGATCTGGGCGTGGGGGAAAAGTCCAATGCAAGGAGGGAATGGGCTAGAGTAGGAGTGGACGATTTGATGCTTGTTCGCGGAACAGTCATTATACCTCACGTAAGTCTTCTCGCTGACGCTTATTATTGAACAGCTTCTGATTGCTATCTAGCATTATGACTTCTACTTCTTCGCCATGAACAAGACACCCGGTCCTGATGGCGAGCCTGTATTTAAGTACAGTGCGGAGCCTCCTCGAAAACCCGAATCGATCGATAATGCCGACTCCAGTGATCCTCTCGTCACGTCCGCCTCCAAGGCTGCTGCTGCGGACGCGCTTCCCGATATAAACACCCTTGAGGGCGCCGACGAAGATCCCACCCTTACTAAAGTTGTTGATAGGCGGTGGTACGAGAAGAACAAACACATCTTTCCTGCGAGTATGTGGCAGGAGTTTGACCCCGAGAAAGACTACGGGAAGGAGGTGAGGAAGGATGCTGGTGGTAATACGTTCTTCTTCTCGCGCTGAGATGGTGCCGTCAACTGTCACAAGACATCGATATGTGTTTGGAAATGCGTTGTGTCGACTCCTTGGGCGTTGGTTATTTCACGAGTGGATCACCTCTGAGTTTGGCTGAGAGGTCATAGAGACACTCAAAACGCGTGGGAGAAGCTTCAACCGAAGAGCATCCAGCCTGCCCAGCACGCGCCTGCGAGCACCCACCATCCAGGCCAGAAGAGCATGAGGAAGACCATATTCCCGCTGCCGAGAATGAAGACGGCGAATTCGTACCAGAGCTTTTTTCGTAATCTCTGGACATTCTTGGAGTTCCATGCACTGGCGACGGCTTGGGTAGACATGTTGAAGCTGTGAAAAGCGCTGTACTTTGTTGCGATGAGGACGTTTAGGGACACGATCTTGCTCCCCTGGAGGACGGCGACGAACGCGCTGCTCGCGATGATGCAGGCATGGAGGCAAATGAAGATGGAGATTGAACCGACAAGGCTCTGGAAGCGAAGGGCAATTTGTAGTGATGGAACGATCAACCTGGTGATGTCGGACCGGGGATGGGTCGAAACGTTCAGATCCACTTTGGAAGCCGTTAGAAGTGTAGCTTTGTCCATGATCTCGATCTGGGGATGGAGTCTCGATTAAGTACCGAAATGAACCAGCGGTAGATCGAGGCTTGCAACAGCACAAGAATACCAGAGAAGAAACGAGAATGTCTTTGACCTATTCAATAACCCCCACCATCTGCAGCATTGATTGACTCTTTGGTGTTTATATAAATTATCTTTAATTCCAACCCCCACTCTGCATCTCTATAGCATGCCCAACACCTCCCGCATCCAACGGCAAACGCGAGGCTTTTTACCGTCTAGAACGGTCACAAGCTCGAAACTCGACAATCACATTGCGCTTCTGCCAAACGTAACTTGCTGATATGAAGCCTCAGGCCCGCTTCAAGCCCCTCATCCCGTCCAGAGTGAGCGGTTGAAGGGTTGCAACGCGACGACCCACGGCGACACGTGGGGCCGCTGATTCGTTGCTCGGGAGACTCTTAATGACAATTGAATAGCGAGCGCGGGATGGATCATGGCCTCGATGCCGGATCTAGATAGGTAGTGGGTGAGATCTTCAAGACCCTGAGTAGGGGACTTTGCTGCACGTGGGAGTGAAGTCGTCTTTTGGGGTAGTCAGAGTCCAGCGAACATGGGAAAGTCAATCGTGTGGATTCGTGGAATAGCATAACATAGCATAGCATGGCGTCCAAGGTAAGCTCAATATTGTATGGAGTGCAGCGGGAGCCAAGCCCCAATGACAGACTCCACGTGGGAACCTGGCTGCCGTCGTTCGCTCGTCGAGGCCCGAGTATCAACTGATCGTCGACCGTTCCGGATTTTAACGATCGGGGGATTCCCGAGACGGAGCACGGCATTTGTAAACCGTAGTCCGGGCTTGTAAATTGGTACCAACGCTTGGCTACAAGGAATGAACCGCTGTTCGTTACTATAATTCATGTGTAAGCCAACATTCTTTGTCTATGCTTGACTGTATTGGGGAAACATTTCTGTCCTTGGGTTCACCAAATATAGTCCCGTATGATTCGCTCTGTAGCAGGTAAATAAGCAAGTTCGATTTAAGAAAGACATACAGCATTAATAAACTCTTACTTCAGCTTCTTAGTCCACCAACTCTTCTGAGATGACAGTACTATTCCCTAGATACCCAATTTACACGCTTGCCTTTTTCGCCTCCTTCAAATCACTTCGAGTCTGAACCAGCTTGGACATCTCATTCGCAGTCTCAGATTCAAGCCTAGAAAAGCCCTTGATGACTCCCTCCCGATCACCCATACCCATCTCTTGGCTCATCTTGAATTTTCCTCCCATGTGCGTAATATCAATTTCGATTCCAATGATACTCTTCTTCAGAAGCTCGATGAACCGACCAGGGGCATCAGATACCTTCCAGTCCACAGGGTTGTCGCCGCCAGTAAAACCCATGACATTAGTCTCGGCGTGGCGGCTGAGGTCAGAAATCTGTTTCGAAAGAAAGTGTCCAGCCTCGTCGGTCTTGGTATCGTAGAAGATTTTGGCGCGGCCGTAGACCTGGGCTGCGGCGTAGTTCCATGTTGGGACGACTTTTCCAGTCGTGGGCTTGGTTTCTGTGTAGAACTTTGGTGTGACATAGTGTTGGATAGGAGAGTTGAAAATGACTATAACGTCTTGCTCGATCACATTATTCAGGCTTGGATTTTCGGTGAGGTTCTCGATCATGGCTTTGCTCTGAGGGTTGACTCTGGCGAGGTGACCTCGTAGCTTTCCCAGCTCCGTCTCGCTTGATTCATCCTCGATGTCTAGAACGAAAGGGATATGGCTGGACTGAAGAAAAGGGAAGTTTGGGGAGGGAATGGCGGTAGTCAGAAGACCCAATGGGTTCTCTCGAATCAGCTTCCTGAGCACCGGAAGCTCGGTTTCGGCGTGAGGTCCTTTGATGTACATTTTTGTTGGACTTGGATATTCGAATACGAAGAGTGTGAGTTTGGGAAGATACTGAGTCGAGAGCAGAATTTCAAAATATGTGGCGGGTATTTATTTGCCGGCAGTCAAGAGTCATCCAAGGACTATATAAAAACAAGGGAATGCCTTGGACCAATTACAAGAGCTGTAATAGCAATTCAGGGTACTGGCTTAAGTATCTCCTCGGAGCTTTATTTTAGCCAGCGGCATCGAAGTCGATCATATGGAATCATTATAGCTTTGTATACGTTAAACTGATTTGCTTTGCCCATAATCGTAATAGTCATGTGGGAACTCATAAGGATGGCGGGCTCCAGTAGATCAGTCTCACGAGTCCATTCCTATTTCGTATAGTTTCGACGATTGACTTGTCTTGGTATTTGAAGCTGAGTCACAGGCCATTAACAAAAGTGATGCTCAGGAGTGGTCGAACAAGCCTAGCCTCTAACAACTTCGTTGTGGGAGTGTCATAAATTGCCGAGACTTGGCAGGCTGCAATGTCGAACCATGTTTACAGCTGAACTTTGTAAACCAAATTTCTGATTGGTTATTGATGCAATCTTGGCTTTGGAATCATTCTTCAAGTTTGCGGGGCTGCGGGGTTGAAAGATGTCTGAATGGTTCGATGTTTTAAGCTGCATCTTTGGTTTTACGACTCATCTAATCCACTGGATTTTATTGCGTAACTATAAGTGACTTCACTGGAATTATGGCTGATTGGGGAAACAATAAGTAATCATCATTTTTGCCTCTTTAGGAAGTTTATATCCGTCAGAGTAGTACGTGGGCGGCAGATGTGTAAACTCACGGCTGGAGAAAGACTTGCCTGCTTGTGTGAGTTATAGTAGAACTAATAAGTATATATGATTTGTAATTTCCTTAACTATGGCGCCTTGCAATTTGGAAACATCATCTTGTGTTTCCTTTTCGGGGCATATAGACTTACCTTGCATAAACGCAATATTCGGGGTTCTATGTTTGGGACCCTGAGACTGGAAGCAAGGAAGCTCTCCCGCTGTCACTTGGTATAAGCACAAGGAAACGTCCTATACAATGTTGGGTGGCCTTAGTGATAGTAAATTCAAAGACACAAAGATGCTTTAATCGTTATTATTTCATTCTGAACGCTATGCACTATGAACTCAACGCTAATCCAAGGCAGCAATCCAGAACTTAAGCAGCGACTGGAACAACCTTGGCCTCCTCCTTGACCTCCTGCTTAACTTCTTCCTTAGTAGCTCCATTGCTGCCATTGGCACCGTTTTTGCCATTTTGTCGCTCCTTCAGAGCAGCTCGTACGCCAGGCAGGATGTATCGACCATAATCGATGGCATCGTTCAGGTTATCGTATCCACGGATAGAGATGAGCTCAGCGCCAAGGTCGACATAGTCAAGAATAGAATCAATAACAGTCTGGTGAGAGCCTACCAGGGCTGTAGATGCACCTCGAGCATTGGTGGCTGTGACGGTAGGATACCAGAGAGCACGATCTTGGACCTCACCCTTCTTGGCGATATCTAGCAGACGCTGGGATCCAACGTTCTGAGGGCGGTTGTCATTCGGTGCAGCCTTGCCAACCCCCTTGGGTCGGTTCTCCTTGAGGAGATCTAGGGTTCGGTGAGCCTTGGCCCAAGCGATCTCTTCTGTGTCGCCGATGATAGGTCGGAAGGTAACCCAGATGCGAGGACGATCTTTACGGCCAGCCTTCTCAGCCTCGGCGTAGATACGATCGATCTGCTCCTTGGTTTCCTTGAGCGGCTCGCCCCATAGACCAAAGATATCGGCGAGAGCGCCACCAATACGGTAGGCATCATCAGATGAACCGCCTACTGAGACGTCGATGTGCCCATTCGTGGGGCGGACTTGGTTGGAAAAGTTCTTGAAAGTATAGTACTTGCCCTCCCAGTCAAAAGGCTCAGGGGAAGCCCATGCCCGTCGGAGAATCTTGATATACTCCTCTTGACGAGCATATCGCTCAGACTTATTCAAGAAATCACCCTCACGGGCTTGCTCAGTATCATCTCCACCAGCAATGAAGTGAACAACAACTCGGCCCTTGCCAAGCTGGTCAAGTGTAGCGAGAGCCTTGGCAGCGACGGTAGGGTAGAGGGTATTAGGGCGAAGAGCAATGACAATCTTGATTTGCTTGGTAACAGCTAGGATAGTGGCACCGATGGTGAAGGGGTCAAAGGAAGAGGAGTGATAGGGGATCAAAGTGTAGTTGAACTCGTAATCATCAAGATTCCGGGCATATCGGACGAGGAACTCTGGATCGATTCCAGCCCCGGGAATGGGGTTGAGCTCCGTAGAGGGGTTAGGGAAAGTTAGGCTGATGAATTCTGTAGGCATTTTGGCGTTGAGTTGTATGATATTATCTGATTTAAACAACGAAGCTGAAATCCGAAAGGTATCCCCAACTCTTATATCGATACTAACGTTACCTCGAAGTTGTTTTAGACCCGTTGTATATGCGTGCTAGTCGAGTTTCATTATTAATATCGAGTATGGCGAAATATTGCGACAGATAGTTGATGATCACGCCTTCGCACCCACCCCGATCTCGGCTAATCAGATCAACTGTAACCTTTGTCTGAGAGATTAAGAGAACTATGAAAATATCTATTCTATTTGGAACCTATATATGGTTAAAGACGCGGTGATGATATAAATTCAATTTGTAGCTGAAATAAGTCTCATGCCCATCATGACCCACCTTGATAATTAACAACTTTTCCAGTTGATATCCTAACTCTATTGCCAGTACTATTAGCCATTTGGCTCTTCTGATCTTCTCCAAGGTTCCCCGCTCACCTACCATCCAGCTTGCATCCTTATCCTCTTATGTGACAGGGTCTACGATGGCGTCAGATTGAAACAGATCCACCATAATGACACCTGCGGCCACCACCGACGGATCGATGTACCCGACTTCGATGCTATAAGGGTTCTCGAGCACCTTATTGGGTACATTTATCGAAATCCTTATCTGGAGAGTCTGTCTCTATGAGCTGATCGGTCCATAATAGTTCAGATGTGGACTGTCCTAGAAGGTCTGTCGTTCGATCTATTAGTGGAGGGAGATGTCAAGATCCGATCATCCAGACTGGACCCTTATTTATAAGCTGCGATGTTTATTCCCGCATGTAGACCCTTGCCGAGTGGGATGTGAAATGCATTGGGGAGATACGGCGTGGACAACTTCACATGCCTCTGCCCTATCTGATAATCATCTTTCACACTATATAGTTGGTATGTTTATCACAGGCTTGAAACTCTGGCTAGGCGTAATTGTAATTTCTAATTAATATGTTCAATATGTATGATTCACTCTGAAGTCGAATTCTTCAACTTACCGTTTTCAATACAGTTTCTAACAGAGTTCTGTTTGAATCTATATAGAGAAAGGCATGCAAGGTCTGCATTTTCAAGTAACGAGAGAGAAATATCCAGTTGCAACTCAATCTATAGTAACCTTCAAGACTCATCGTTACATAGTAGGTCTTCTGGTGAAAACCTCATTACATTAATCAACACAGAATGCTCAACAGAGGCTGGTAGGGGATACTTATTACATAAGTAAAACATTTCGGTTAATTCATGTTTGATTGGTCATTTCAAGGGGTAGAGTAACGTTTAGATATGAGATTTATATAATTTCGAAGAGTTGGTGGCAATATGTAGTGATGAAATAGTTACTAAACGCATAGTTGAGGGGGCTAGTATATGTAGAGCGTAATGTGATGCCCTTGCTCTTTGAGAAAACAATTGTGCACCTATTGCTACAACCTTGTTCGTGTCGCAGCTCTTAAATAGCAATATTGCAAGGATAGGGAATTCGGGAAAATTCAAGTTAGGATTGGTTTGGTATTAGCCATAATGTACTCACATATGCTAGTTGGTTGACTATTGAATCTTGTGATACTTCCATAAGATATCAAGGCAAGAACACATTGGAAAATCCCAGGCAACTCAACTAAGTTCTCTCGGCTGATTTAAGCTCTCAGCCACAGGTCTCAGCGGCAAATAACACTTCTAGCTCACAACTTAGAACAGGCAACTCAAGTCTCAGGTAATCTATAAGTACCAGGCCATGGTAAGTTGTTCTTGCAGTCTAAGCACAACATAGTCTGTGTTTTGAGTTGCTGATATGGTCTTCCTGAAGAAGATGCCCAGGCAGCATTTCCTTGCAAGATCTTAACTTGACGAAGCCGCCGCATAATCTCGTTGCCTAGAAAGTATCAGCATTGGACATCGGATGTTGTTGTCATTTGAGTACATACAATGCTGGCAAGGTACAAGACAGAAACAGGAGTACGCGTCAACCTTGGACTGTCAGTTCCCGAGCTGGCAATTTATTTATCAGGGGTTTCAGTTGTCTGTAATAGCGGGCGAGAGTTGCCCCGACCTCTTACAGATGAAAGTTGCCATGATGCTTGTCGGGCTGACGCCCCCCAGTTGCCAAGAGAGTGGCCGTTCCTTATTCTTTTCTCTAAGAGGGAGGATCGAGTAAACTTGTTAGAAGAACGGCTGAATATATGCACAAGTTGAACAAATATTCATAACTTCTTGAGGAGATAGTGTCGGGTTCTCGGGGAGTGGATTTCCCCGTATCGAAGGATCGTAAACGGGCCCACATCTAATTTCCGCGATAACTTCAAGAGGCCGCCGACTTCCAATCAATTGCCTCAGATCACCAGTAAATCCGTTTCAAGGCCGCCTGACACTTTCAACAAGAGTCAAAGGCTCTTTATAAGAGCAAATCTCCCAGGGTTCGGTGGAAAGAGCACATTTAGATCATCTACCGTTAGTGAAACCATACCTCATCATGCCAGCGAAAACAGAGTTTCTTAGATACGCGAGTATGTAACCCTACCAGAAGCCAAACTGCTACCTCCTCTGATGCTTGATAGGTCCCAATGAGATGCGGACTATTGCCCGTGAGGATGTTGGTTACTATAACGCAGTCGTCATTGGTGCAGTCTATGACTTTGCCGATGGGATCAACGTCAAGTCACCTTCGACCTATTTCCACGCGTTAAAACGCTGCATTGAACAACATCCCTTCTTCTGCGTTACTGTCGGAGACAGAAACACCGACAAGGGCTTCTATGAGCGGGTGGCTAGCATCAATGTCGAGGAGCACATCAGCTTTGCTGAGGACATAAATGCCGAGACAGACTCACTGGAAGCCATTGCAAGATCTATGGAAAAAGAGATAGACCGTCCCTTTGTCTCTGGAGTTCCACCGTGGAGAATCGTGATTTTTCCTCTCGGCCCCTCTCAATGCCATGTTGCATTCTCTTTCTCTCATACCATTGGCGATGGCATCACTGGGGTTGCTTTTCACAAGACGTTTCTCGCAGGACTGAGGGAAACCCCTGCAACTGAACCATCATCGATCGTTGCTCCAACAGACAAACCTTTCCCTGAACCATTCGATACAGCGGAAAGACTGCCAATCTCCTGGTCATTTCTACTGGCACCAGTTCTCGCTGAGTACATGCCATACTTTCTCGTCCGATTATTTGGCCTACGTGTCTCAGCGTCCTATGTCGACGAAGGTACATGGACAGCAGCGCCCATCTTCTTCAACCCTGAGACATATCACAACAAACTCAAGATTCGACAGATCGAGGCATCGCAGGTAAACAAGGTTGTGCAGCTTGCGCGGACTCATGATGCGAGGTTGTCAGGAGTCATGCACCAGCTCATCACCCGCGCACTGAGCAAGGCAGTCCAGGACAACAACGTCACCAACTTCGTGGCGCAAACTGCTATAAATATGCGAAGATCAATCGGAATGTCCAATGACGTGGCGAGTGATATTGTGTCCGGTTCCTACACAATTCATCTTCGTAGCGCTGCGACAGGTCCTTTGACTGAACAAGAGTGGGCATCAGCTTCTGAAGCTACCAAGGAGTTCGCCATGACTTCCACCAAACTCGAAGATAACGCCATCGGTTTGCTTCGATATGTCCCGAGTATGAGAAAATGGACTCTTGGTAAGATTGGCAAGAAGCGGGACTCGTCATATGAGTTCAGCAATGTTGGCGTCTTTGATGGCGACAACGCGAATAGCGACAAGGTCAAGGTATCGAAAATGACCTTTGCGCAGCCTGGTCACGTTGGAGGTTGCCCCATTTGTTTCAATATCGCCTCTGTAAAGAATGGCGATCTGGTGTACACGGTTACGTGGCAGCCCGGAGCATTGGGGCTTGGTGATGAGGCGGCAGAGGAGAGGATAGTGGAGGAGATATGCGACCAAGTGCAGCGTGGCTTTAACGAAATAGCCTAGTTAGACTAGTTTCCGTTTCGTGATTGTAGCTTAATAATGTTTAATATCTTTGCCTATTGGCTCATGCTATTCTGCACCTGGTGAGCATTTCGATATTCTGCCTCATATCATGTTCATGTTCCATGCACAGAACAAGACCCTGCCGATCAATTGCGCTGCACAGATTGTGGCTCAGCGTGTCCCAGGCTCGGACTCGGGAAACCCGACAACCCCACAAACGGTGCACAGCATGTCACTCGACGATATTAGTGGTTCAGCCCTGCACCGTTAGCGGTTAGTTTGAGCTTACAGGCTTGTGTCTAGTGTGTGTGCGTGCGGCTGTGAACTGCGCCTACCTAACCTTAGTCCTACTGAGTGGTCTGTGACATGAAGAAGCCTTGTCGGCTTTTTGTCAGCTAAGGCGGATTCAGTGACAAGCTAAGCCAAAGCAGCTCGTCTGCTGGAACGGGAGACATGGAGCGATCGTGGTATTTAAAAGGCGGGGGAGGAGCTGTCGTTTTGAGTTTCCATCCATCATCATCTCGTCTAGTTATCTACCAGTCACTCAAGCAATCCTATTGATCAATTTCTCCATCTATCTTCTCTTCTACCTAGTACTTATAACCTACCTACAGAACCAACATGTCCGCCAACGATTATTACGGTAGTGGTAACAGTGGCTACGGCCAGCAGGGTGGTTATCCTCAGCAGCAAAACTATGGCCAACCTCAGGGCTATCCTCAGCAGGGCGGCTATCCCCAACAGGTATGTTTCTCATCTCAACTCTTCTATGCCACCGCTAACAACATTTCAGCAGCAGTACTCCCAGCAACAACAACCTCAGGGTTACGGCTACAGCCAGCAGCAGCAGCCTCAATACTCCTCCCACTCGCCTCAGCCCACCTACGGCTCGCAAGCTCCTCCCCAGCAGCAGTACGGCCAACAGCCCACCTACGACCAGCGCGGCTCATCGTCCTATCCTCAACAACAGCACAACAACCCTCAGTATGGCGCCCCTGCTTATCCCCAGGGCGGCGCTCCTGGACAATACCCTCCCGGCCAGCCCGGCCCCGACGGTGATCGCGGTCTCGGAGCTACTCTCGTTGGTGGAGGTGCCGCTGCTTGGGCTGCGCACACAGCCGGTGGTGGTCTTTTAAGCAGTCTCGGAGCTGCAGCTGCTGGTGCTATCGGTGCCAATGTGCTCGAGAACAAGTTCAAGAAGGGCAAGAAGGACAAGAAACACAAGAAGGATAAGAAGCACAAGTCCCGCGGCATGGACAGTAGCTCCAGCAGCAGCGATTCTGACTAACGATGGTTGTTCCTGATGGGATATGGAGTTTAGGTGTTATAGCAACTATTTTTTAGATTTATCTTCGGAATACGACGAATACTTGGTAACTTGAACTTTATGGGATTTTTATAAGTGACAATAGACTAAAGCATATGCAATACTACAAATCACATTCTGAGTTTAGATCCTAAAAATAAGCTTATATGCCAAGCTTTCAAGCTTCTTGGCTGAAATCATAGCTATTCCCGAATCCTCGGTTCAGGTAACTCTCAAGCACGGCCTCCCTGCTCGCCCAATCTACTGGTACATCCAACCCCAGCTTTCCCTCTTTTTCAAGGCCGTCTAGAATCGGCTTTATATCTTCACCCAGCTCGAGTCTCATTCTGTTCCTGAACCACGGCGCAAAGTGGATCATGGCGAGCATCACCCTAGTCTGTTGAGTGGTGTTCGGCATGCCAGCGTGCCAGAGTCTGAGATCGCGCACGACGATGCTGCCCTTCTTAATGACGGGCTGCAAGGGCGGTGAGATCTCTTGACGCTGGCGTAGGAGTTCTTCTCTAATGCGACCGCTGGCTCTCTCGCCATGTGCACCCTCTTGTGCATCTAGACCAAACCCATTGTGGGTGCCAAGCCAGATCTCTGTGGATCCATTCTCTGGTGTAGTTGTGACGAGAGGAATATTCACGACAAGGGCAAAGGGATGGTCTGGGTGTGCAAAGTCCGCATCTGAATGCACAGGCTGGCGCTGAGGAGTTCCTCCAGGGAGAGTTGCCATTGCAGAATTGGCAGAGCAGAACGTCCACTTTGGCCGAGGGCCCATCATGGCAGTGGTCATCTGTGTAGCAATTGGGTCTGAGACATGTAAGTCAGTTGAGGCAGGACAAGTTCGTAGAGGTATTACTTACTTGTGAAGATAGAAGGGCTAAAGTATTCAGAAACAGGAGGGGCATCTTGCTGAATATTGCCCTTGTTGTAGTTGAAAGGGCCCTTGTCACCTCGAGTCTGTAGGGTATGAGCATCCTCAATCATCTTCTTGTTGAGGATGTCGATGTCCTCGTGAGGAACAACATCTTCCACAACAACCAAGCCATCTCTGTGCATGTGTCGCACAGCTTTCTCGAGGTTTCTGGAGTCGAGGGTCCGATTCTTTACTTCTTGAGCTGAAGGTCGAACAACTCCGACCTGTGGAGGTTTTGGTACTGTTGCAAAGGTGCGTGCCTGTTTCGCCAGCGCCGAGGAAAGCTTTTGGGCACGCAACATGATAAAAGACCTTGATAATAGTATTTATGGGAGTTTTAATATTTTGAATGAATCTGAAGAGCTGCTTTTGACGTATCTGGGACTGGAAAGACCTCCTCATTTATACTCGTAATGAGTAAACTTGGTGATGTAGGTTTCCCGAGCTCGGAAAACCTTTCCCCACTGGTATGGATTCTCGACCGCCACGATGCAACAGCTTGTCGTGAATAGATTTGTCAATGAGAGTTCTTCGTGTATAATTTTCCCGTGGCTTTGGCGATGGTGGCATGATAATTGGTCACAATATTGACACTCTACTCTTGGTCCATCCCCCAAGACCCCTTGAGATCACCAATGAGTCGCTCAACTGGCCATCCTATCATTGATTTACATGCGAGTAGTTGGCGAATAAGCTCCTGCCGCGACGCCTCGGCTTTGATATATCTTGCGCCTACCGAAAGGTTAGATTTTATGATGTAGACGGGATAGTATGATAATTTACAAAAAGCTATTGGCCCGAATGCATTTACCAGAACTGACGGCACCTTGGCAGTAAAAGCAATGCCGCATATCTCAAGGGCAAAGTACTCGACAAACAATTCTTTGGACTGACCTTTGAGTCCAGGCAGATTAATACCGCCTAGGTCCTCTAGGCTTCTGGGAGAAGTGTAGATGCAGACTATTGTCATTGCGACGAGGTAATAGTGAAGTATCGCAGCTATTCGGCATTAGAGACATTGCTGTTTCGTGGTAGGGAAGGACTTGGCTCACCATGGCAAGGCTGCAGGAACCAGATTGCAGGGAATAGATGAGATGTGATACTCTCGCCTTGAAGTCTTGAGTAAGGCTTTATGTGACGAGGGCAAGAATTCCTCCAGCTTTTGAGGTCTTCCTTTATGTAGTCCCACTGACTGCCATCTGTGTTTTGTTTGAAAGACATGTTGATTATCTTGCCCAGGATTAGAGTGATAGAGTTGAGATAGTCTTGATCAGAGCTATGCTGGATGGTCAATGGTGTACTCTCGAGGTCCATTTTCAACGGACACTCCTCAAATAGACTGAATGTTATGTCCTCTCTGAGATAGTTCCAGAAACCTGCACCTAACAACCCGGCTTGTGGGATGCCTGATAACACATCGTGGAGCGAAGCCATGGAGTAAGCACCACGAAGATGCATGTTGGGATCAACATCACCGTCAAGAATCTCGTATGAACGCAAAAGACACGTCGCAGCGAGGGCTACACCTCGACTGATGAGCTCATCGCCTGCATCCAGAGCGATGAGAAATTGAACACAGCGATGATGGTAGAATTCAGCGACCTTGCTAAAACTTGGAGCTGATGTTTTACACGCATGCATTGAAGAGAGTGCGATGACAGCACAGAAGAGAAGAGGCTCGTCTAGGGCAATGGATGGAACTTCAAGGCCGAAAGAACATGCTGAGTCGCTGAGGTCATACCATTCCGAGATATTAGAGGTATAAGCATGGAAGAGGCGCGCTATATTCTGGTCTTGTAGAGCTCTTCTTGGAGAGTCAGGATTGGGCAATTCTTGGTGGTGGACTTGCTGAGCAGTCAGCTAAGTAACGTAGAAAGAGTGAGAACAACAGACTGAAGCGCGTTGGTTTCTCTGATCTATCGCAGTAAAGACCACTCGTTGTGCATTGTCCACAGATGGGAAGTGCTTGATTGCCTGCTACACGCATCAGAACAAGGTCTTGGAAATAGGTAGCGTCACTCTTACACTTTAGCTTGCGACGACGGCAAGTATTACTTCATCATGTTAGTTAAGAGATGCGTTCCCTAGGCAATTGAGCTTACCAAATTCCTTTCTTGGTAGGTCGTGGCATCTTCACATCAAATTCGAGTCATGATGAGTTGGTTATGTTGTTGGATGGAGGAGGCAAGTGGATGTTGCTTAGTTATAATGACTCCAACACATGATTGTGGGGTTTGCTTCAATTCAATAGGTATGCGTAGGTACAGTACAATGTGATAAGCAATTTGAGTCAACGTCTCCCGGCTTAAGTGACACCGAATTAAACAAGTATGTAAATTAATCTTCATACCATTTCACGAATTCTGATACTCTCAAGTATTAGATAGCCACGGGCAGCAAGAAACCTTGGGACCTCACTCTTAAATAACAAAAGGATTTAGGTAAATTATCATAAACTTAGGGCGGTATTTAACAAGTTTAGCATACCATCTTTACTTAAAAATATAATTTTCTTACACCCTAAGGGATAATGGTTGCTGAATCTCTTATCTACATAACGCTCAACTCATCATGGTCCGCAAATAACCATTCCCAAAGGCCGTGCGAATCCAATCATTAAACAAGAGTCTAGGCTATCTAACATACCATCGCCATGTCTTCAAAACAATCTAGTCATCTAAAGAAATGAATCACAGACGACAACATCCAACAGGATTCTCAACATCCCGTCTGCAATAACATGACGACTCGATAGGCACATCCACAAAAGCCATAGCCGTCTTAAGCTGCTGCTTTATGATCCGCGCCTCGCCGTCGAGTCCCAGCTTCACTGCACACTCGTGATAGCCGTGGAGGGCCCAGACATTGTTAGGGTGATGTCTTGCCCTGAATAGCTTGTTATTCAACCCGAGATCAGTGCGATATACTTCAGCAGCTTCTTCGATGCGGCCTTGTTCCATGAGGAGAGCGGCGTACGCATGACGGGCGGGTTGCATCCATGCCCACGGCTCAGCGTATCGCAGACCATCATCGAGATCGATTGACTTTCGAAGATGCTCAAAGGCAAGCTCAATGTTGCCCCGTCGGTACTCAAGCTCGCCATCGAGCATGGCCTCAGCCACGGCCAGGACATCAAGGCACTTATTAGGGTACTGTGTACGAGTCGGCGGCACACGAACTTTGGCAGCAGCGAAGAGTTCTCGTTGCTTAACTGACTCTTCAACATTTCCCAGCGCCGCATAAGCAACACCCTTGGCATAGTGAATCGTCGCGGTGGTCACGCAGAGCAGTTTCTGGTCCACAGGAAGTGGCATGTCAATGATTTCCTCCCATTTTCCAAAGCGGATGAGGATATGTGGACGAACTGATCGGAAGGTTTCTAGCCAATCCGCCATCGGGGGCGACTCAATTCGTAGATCTTGGTCTGGAATAGCCACTTCCATTTGGTTCACTGCCTTGATCGAGACACCGTACTGGCCTGCAAACATGGCGGCGTAGATGAGTGAGTGGTAGTCATGCATGCGGTATATGGTGTAGAAGTCGCCACCACCCCGAAGGGATACAAATTTCTCATCAGCTATGACAGCTTTTGCATTAGCAGAGATGGCACGCCGATAGTCTCCGATGAGGATGTCGAGATGCGAAGGCATGTGAGCTAGGTGGCCTGCTTCATTTGCCAATCTGCGAAGATGTTCGGCTGCAAGAAGACCCTTTTCAGGCTCGGTTGACATCTCGGTGACGTGAATGTAGGCATGCAAGAGTCCGATATGCTCATATCCGCCTTCCTGAGCTAGACCTCTTTCAAGAACTTCTTGAATTTCTAGGACCTCAGAACCAGGCGCAGGCTTCCCTGTTCGGACGTCCCACAGAGCCCATGGCGTGAGATTCATGAGTGCATCGGCGTACAGGGTTGCGATATCGAGATCATCTTTGAACTCCTCATAAACAGGTTTCATAGCTTCCGCGTAGGCACTGTTCCAACTCCTGGCATGGTTTGTGTCGTTCTCATCTTTAGGATAGCGATGTCGAATGGCACCAGCAAGTGCTCGTTCAACGGGGCTCGCTTTTGAGGCCAGAGCTTCAGCATTTTTGCAGGCTTCAAGGCCTTTCAAAGTGGTGTGCTTGAGATCGTTGCGGTCGAATGCTTTCCACGGCTTGTTGTAGTTGGGACCAAGAGCAAAGGCAAGGCCCCAATATGCGAGGCAACATTGGGGGTCGATTTCAATGGCCCTTTCAAAACAGCGTTCTCCTTCGGCATGGTTGAAGGCGTAGCACCAAACGATGCCATCTTCGACCCATCTCTTGGCCTCTGGCTTAGTGGTAGTAAGGTCACGAGTGAAGGGCGGGAGAATAAACTCTTGACCGTGAGAGTCATCTGATTTGTGTGTAGACTGTGATGGCCCCATCTTGAACAAGCCAAGAAGTATAAAATGAGGCGAGTGGCTGTCAATAGTAAAAACCCTTGTAGCTTGATAAAAGACGTTGTTTAGATGGATGTTGATGGTTGCTGCTGGCCTTCGGGAGATCGCCCCAATATCTTGCGGAGTAAGGTACAATAGCTGAGAAGGCCCCACTCTTGGCTTGTACCACGTCAAATCAGCAATCAGTGACGTGCGTGTCAATGGCCGAATACGGAGTATAAAACCAATGGAATGTGTAGATAGTAATAAGGTCGCGATAATTGAGAATTAAAAAGGAACTCTTATAGAGGCCCAGAATGAAGAAGGGTGCAAGAATCTGAGATAAGACATCCTGCCCCTGTAAGCCAATCTCCAGAGAAACAGCCACTACGGAGTCTCCGTGATATATATGATCCATACACCGCTGTTATAAGCTCATGTGATGCAGATACAGAATACAAGGTAGCATGTGGAATTTAGGGTTTTTAGGTTGAATTTATACTAAACTCATCTAATTTGGCCTAATTCTTTCATTCATTTAGGATCAAGGCTAATTATGTGCTATGTGCTTATACGGTAGTAACAGATTTGGATAAGCTTGAGCCCGAAAGCCAGGCCGTGTTAGTGACTACGGTCAGCATATATCTCGCGGCTGTTTCTGTGTTGAAAACCCGATCATTAGCATAACGATACTTTGCCGTTGCTAAAGCCGACTTAAACAGAATGAAGCAATTCTGCTGCTGTGGCGTGTTAAGCTTGTAGTTAATCCCACGTGGGACAGGTTATGAAAACTCTAAGCAAGCACCGATAAGTTATATATATGTCCCCTTTTCTCTGTTTCTCATGATGTTCGGTTTGAGCCAACCGACTTGGACCTCAAATACAAACATGGGAAGTCTTTTCAGACGATTCTTCGATCGTCTTCGACGGAGAATCCTTCTGAAGGATCCCCGTGGAAATCTTATTTGCCTCCCCCCTGAGATCATCCTAGAAATCGCCGAGCACCTCTCCAATGTCTCGTTGATCTCACTCAGCCTTACCTGTCGACCCTACCACATTCTACTTTCAACATTCACCCGCAATGTTAAACTCGAAGCAACAGAATTGGAAGACTTCCTACAGATACTGGAAAAGGATTGCGCCAGCTCATACTTTTGCTATATCTGTGTGAGGCTTCACCAACGGGACCGACGTGGGATGGTTGATCCCTGTAACTGCTACAAGTGGGATTGCAGAAAAAACTGTTTTCTTCACTTCAACTTTCATATGTGGTTCGACCCCGGTTTGATGATAAAATATGCCGAAGCGCGACTTATCATGAATCGCCATTTCAACGGCCCTACCCACGGACTCTCTCTCGATACGCTTAACTACGACGGAAATATCCATCGGTACAATGATGGTGGCACAGAACTATGGACATCCATTGCTCGCATAATTCAAGATGAACTATTCCTCCAAAGGACTCTGGTGATATGGATTCCAAAATATCTAGGAGTGCAGAAAATTCAGCATCGCTTTTACTTTCCTGTATGCCTTCATGTTCGAAGCAGTATCAACTACGGCTGTCGTAGTTCAGCGAGAATAGGTCTATATGGCCTACCAGAACTGGCAGAACTGTCGGAAGCGTTCAAGTCCTGTGATAACTCACTGGGGTCGTGCCCCATCTGCTTTACTGATTACTCCATAACTATACGTTGGGAGAGTCACCAGAGGCAAGGCTGGCGCATAGAGGTTGTGAGTTATCAGCAATTTGGTCATTGCCGATCTCCTTATGATTGGAAGTGGAGAGTTGCTGTGGAAAGGAGTTTTTGGAACGAACCAAGATGCCGGACTCAGAAGCCGGGGCTTGTGCGGCAGCGCTGGATGTGTCCAGATGGCCGCATACAACCAGAGGGCAAGTTTGTTGGCAAGGCTCTCCGAGAGCCCGGTAGTATACTTGGCTCAAGGCGCTGTCCTTGGGGAGCCTCATGCGAAAGGAGGCCAGAGTGTAAAGAGCACTACAATGCGAACCGCCCGTCACACGGTGACATTTTTAGACATTTTCTCGCCTGGTCTGACCCGGCTGAAGTTTAGCAGACGAACTGCTTTATCTGGCAGATGCAATGAGAGTGGAGGTCACGTTTTTGCAAACACCCTGTTGCGGTACCGTTCATATGAACTGTCTCATAGTAAGAATCTGTTCTGGGTTGTAATCGAAACGAGGGATAAATTCCTGGAGAACAACATCACTATTCAACGCTACACTGGGTAATTGGCTCCGCAATCATGGACGGATACGACCAGGTCCATCTCATCCAACATCCAATCTTAGCCAAAGAGGTGCTCCTGCTTGGCTCCCTCAGCAGCCTGCAGGTAGCTAACACGATCACGGCAGTAAAACTCGACATTGATCTTGTTGTCGAGGTTGGCCTTGCCGTTGTCAAGACCACCAGCCTTGATGATGATATTGCCAGGCATGACGTCGAGGCGAGTGTAGAGGCTGGAGCCGCAGTCGCCACAGAAGAAGTGGTGGTTTATCTTGCCCGAGGCGCCGGTGACATCATATTGCTTGGGAGAGCCTGGAATACTGATATCAGTGCCTGCCTGACAAAGAGAATTGGTTGAAGGCAATACCCTTGGTGACGGAAAAGTCGCCCTCAGCGACAACAGCATTGGAAGTAAAGGCACCGCCAGTCCACTTCTGGCAATCGATGCAGTGGCAGAGAGCCGTAATAGCAGCGTCGCCTAGGTATTCAGTTAGATAAATCCGTATTATATGATTGGTTCAAGAAACGTACTGTCGCTCTTGTAAGCGATGGCACCACACATGCAGCTGCCAGTAAGAGCCATTGTATAACAAATTAAGCACGAAGCTAGAATGTCTTTGGAAAAGTGTAAGTTATCAAGGTGTCTATGAGATAATCTGTGGAGTGAAGAAGCTCTCAAGGTTCTCGGACCTGGGATATATATACCTGAGTAGATCTCCGCACAATGAACGGGGGCCAGTGAGTAATGATTCCCAAGACTGCCCTAGTCACTTAAGCAAGAGCGGGAACTAGTTTGGAATTACTGCATCCCCAAGTGGAGAGAGGGCCATTCTCCGAGAAATATCTCCATTCGCGTTGGAGCTATGTCAGAGGCTTGAGGATAAGCAATTGAATTCCCTTTCTCCGGAGGATTCGCACAAGTTTCTGACAGTAAAGATGTGGATGAAACTCTTTACAGACTCGGTCAAGAGGCTCAAGTTTGGAATCAACAAGTTCATTCAGAAAGCAGCTATCGTCGGATCCGCGTTTGGAGAGTGGGGAAATACGTATCCGGATAACAGGTTCCCCAGACATTTTACACACCATGATTGATCCAGAAAAAGGCGGAGGAATTAAATAACAAGTCCGAAACGAATGGGATCAACTGATTCTCTGGGGAAATGGTCATGGGCTCTTGGCGTGCACTATACTACCGACATCCGCTCCACCGATGCGGGGAATGCATTGCCCACAGTCATGAGGAATCGTCACCGACGACCCGGCATGTGAGATCAAGCACAACGAAGCTTTGGAATATTTCATGAATTTCATGACTATATGTGGACTAACATCAAAAACTATATGCGTGCAGAGTTGCACCTCAGTCGTCATTGCAGAACACCGAAACCAGTCATCACTTCTGGCAGACAATCGACCACGTCTAATCCCGCAGGTGGGCAACCTCAGGCTTCTCACTGCTGATCCTACCGGTTTCCTCATCGTAATGGCCATGACGGTCAACAGCCTGCTCCATGGCCCCGTCGCCCATGGCCTCCCTGGCATCAGAGTCGTGAGCAACATCAAACTTGCCCCTCAAGTTCTCGGGACCGATGAACGTCAGAACAATGACGTACACGTACACACAGGCCATGAAGATGCAGATGACTTTTCCGTAGTCGTAGCGAGTCTGGCCTTCTGCGTTGTCGGGAAGTGGGAAGTTCTCGCCGAGACGGGCCTCGATGGTCGACGAAGCCGAAGACACGAGGTTACCGAGTTGGTAGGATGTACCAACGACGAAAGTGCGGAAAGCTCCTGGGGATAATTCCATCAGATGGATAGGAATGACACCCCACGCTCCCTGGACGCAGAATTGCTGGAAAAATGCAGCCGCGATAATGGAAGAGTCGCGGACGAAAGTATAGGGATAGAGCAGGGCGCCGCCAACGATGCAACAAGCGATGATGCTGATTCGACGGCCAATAGATTGACTGCTGAAACCGACGACAGTGCCACCAAGCATAGCTCCCAGGTTAGCGACAACCTGGGTGACAGTGACCTTGTTCTTGGAAAAGTTGAGCTGGTTCTCCAACATGGTAGGGTACAAGTCCTGGCTACCGTGGCTCATGAAGTTGAAGCCCGCCATGAGAAGGACGAGATATACCAGCAGAAGCCAGTGGTGCTTGAGAGCGACTTTGCCTTCTTTGATGAAAACCTTTCCTTTTCCGTCCGCACCAGCAACTTCTCGTGCGCGTTGGCGTTCCTGGTATGCTTGTGTCTCGGGGAGCATCAGACGAGCGATGATGAAGAGGACGGGGGGGCAAGCGCCGAACCAGAAGAGGGGGCGCCAGTCGTGAGATGTTGTATCGACGAGACCGCGAGCAAATGCGGCACATAGAAGGTATCCGAAAGCGTACTGCAACAATTAGATAATGAACGTCAGTGAAGCGGGACATTGTTACTTACACCTTGCTGGAGCATACCACTCATCAGACCACGGGCCTCCTCTGGACAGTCCTCAAGGGCAGTGGCGGCAGCATTACCATAAAGACCACCCATGGCAACGCCAAAAAGGGCTCTGCAGGCTAGAAACTGCTGGTAGGTTTGACAGAAACCAGTGCCCTGCATGATATTTCGTCAGCGACTGTTCGGACATATCTCGTAGATCTCTTGGCATCGGCCTTGCCAAGCCCAGTGTGACAGGGGTGTCTGCAGGGCTGTACTCACAAGTTCAAGAACAATGAAGAGAAGGTTGTTAACCACAAATGGCCACTTTCGGCCATATCGATCACTCGCGATACCGAAGGCGATAGAACCAACGGATCGGAACATGAGAACGAGGGTGATACCCCATGTGATGTCGGTCTTGGATTTGTCAAAGGTTTTGCTGAGACTCGTAACGGTGAGAGATACGGAGAAGAAATCGAATGCGTCCCATGTCTACATGTCATGAGTTAGTGATTGCTAAGATGGCACAATTGCAAGGAGAACTCACCCAAGCTGCGAAGGCGACGAAGAAGAATGCCCATTGCTGGGAGTTCAGCATGCGCACAAGTTTGATGGGATTCGGGACATTGTGCATGGGAGGCTTGAGCGAGGAGAATCTTGTGGCTGCGTAACGACCTGGGGACATGCCCTCATGAGGTGCGCGAGTGTTGTACTCGTCTTGAGTCATCGTGGGCTTTTGCTATCGTACAAAAGATTGTAGGAGCAAGGTGCTGAGTGAAGGCGTCTGGATGACAAGTGACCTTCTTGACTGCTATCAACAACGAACTGGTGTAAATGGAAGGAAGTCACCACGATGGGTGTTTGGGTATGAATGTGAGTGAGTGAGTATCTAAAGACACACAGTCAAAGCTGCTGATCGAAAGACCAACCTACCTACTCCAAGTGAGGATCATCCTCACTTATATACTCTTCCCCATCTCCCCCAACATGACCAACTGCTCCAAAACTCAATGCACCATCTCCGAACCGTGAGCGAATATCTCACGGACCTATCATACCCTTACGAAACTAGCATAAGTAGCATAAGCAAGGATCAGAAGAGTCGGGGGTCCCCATAATTCGTAGATTAGAGGGTGCCGGTTCCGGAGACGTGAGGTTTTGATTCGGCATCTACGAGGTAGTGCTGCAGATCTCGGTGTTGGGTGTTGCAGAGACAGGGATCTCTGCTGTTGTGTGCAATCGTTGCGAAGATCCACGTTGCATCACACCGTGACAGATTTCCTGTCTCTGTTGCGATATCTCAGCCTGTGTAAGCCATCTCGATTTGTGATTAGGTACCCTCACGAACAACCCTCAAACTTGTCCAAGCAACAACGCAGGTCAGCAATATCAAGATGTATTCTTCTCCCTTTTACTTTCACTTTCATTTTCCCCTTCACTTTCACTCCTCTAGTAGCCTGACGTTCAGGTAGTTAGTTACCTTCCCCTCACGACTTATAGACTAGACCTGCCTCCTCCGCACTACTCAAACCTGGAGAAGCTTCCTCTATCTCCAAGTCCTAGTCCCCGCCCCCCAATTCCGGCACACGACGGCCGATAAAGTGGAGAGAGATGCCCGGGGCTATTCTAGTTCGAGTAAGCGGCCCCTGGGGGAGTCGGCAATCCGGCATCTGAAGTGGAGCCCATGTGCCTACGACTTGACATCACCAGCTGGCATCACTCAACTTGCACTTTTGATCAAGAGCCATTTCGAGGAAGAATACGGGACGAATGACTCAGAGACGCCAACATCATTCGATAGATTCATCCCTAAAAATTAACGCCAGCCTCGTATACCAATTAAACACAAACATACATACCCGTATCGTCTCCTCCTTAAGCACTGACCTTGCTTGAGCTTCGAACCCTCCTCCGCATATCACCCATGAAAGCTTCCCTCCCGCCTCCCTCCACAGCTTATGCGTTTCCACAAGCTTGTTTCCCCAGAAAATCCCTCTTAATCAAATCCAGCCCATCACTTACGCCCGCTGATCTCTCTAGCTCGTCAGCTAACCCTTTTCCAATCCATCGTTTCAAGCTTGAATGTAACCGAATTCCAATCTTTTGCCGCTCCTTCCAGAAGCCTTCTAGAAGCCTGTTCCATCATATCACGAAACCCTCCACGTTACTTTACATCGTTCCCGACTCCCCGAAATACAATAGCCCCAGTGGAGGAGGTAACGAGCCTCGTTTCAATCTGGTTACCGTACTCACCACGTTATTTGTCATTTATCAAAATTTCCATTGCCATCAGTCATCCTCGGCCACATTTCTAATGTCCGAATACCTTGTAGCGGGTTGAAGATAGTGAATGGATGGGGTTGGTATCTACGGCCCACTAGCTTACGTCCTTCGCGACACTCTCGTAACCCGGGTTCGTCATTCAGGGATATAGAGATAGACACTATCAGACCATGACGGGAGAACTCGGGGCTGGTCTAAGTCTGAGTTCATCTAGAACCACCGTAGCCAGATACACAACACTAGAGCATGCATGAAGCTCAGATCAACTGTCGCTTGAAAGTTTCCTAGCCTCGAACCAAAATCGACATGCTTATTAGTGTTCGGATAGGTTCAATCCGTATCAGGTTTGGTTGCATACACTTCACCTCAAGCAGGGGTTGTAATTGTTGCTGTCTCGAAGGAAAGGAAAACGCTGCTTTCTTAGATATACCGACTGGGTACCTCTAGGTACCAAAAAAAGACTCTGTCCCCAACGCCCTTCCAGGGTATATTGGGTATTCCTTCGCAACGCAGTCCTACAAGAACCCTGGCAAGTCTCTTGTTAATGTACCGATCCTCCAACTTCACCATTATGATCTTGCATTTGCCCAGGATTTGACACCAATCGTTAAAGACCCTCATTATTTTTCTTGAAAATTATTCGTAACCTCGTGTCTTACTAAACACCCCCACCCATGAAAGCCGCAAGATCGTCGAGATCAAGGAGCTGTCGCTCAAAGGCTTGGCAAAGCTCTGGTGCAGTCATATCCTGGCTCGTCGTCTGTCCATCCTGAGGAGGCACAATCCCATTTGCCATTTCTGGGATAGGCTGCTGTTTGATATCGGGTACTGCTCCGTGGGTCGTATTAGACGGTGGTGGCGAAACTGTCGTAGGGGTGGATGCTCCCCCAGAACCGTTGATGGTTGTGACGCCAGGTCGTCTTGCCAGAACAACAGGAGGCTCACTATCGCCACGCACAGACTCTGAGACAGATCGAGGGTTGCCTTGGCCTGAGACGCTACCTGCGTGGTTCGTCTGCTGGTCATAATCCATCGCATCCGGGTTGGTGTCAGCGTTGGATGAGATTTCATCCTTGACACCTGCACCGTGAGATGTCGAGCCATGGCGCAAGGAGCCACCATTGGCAGCTGCAGCATCATTGTTAAGCACTCTTTGCATGACGGTGAGGTGTCGAAGCCAGCTGCCCATCAGAGGCCAGTTCTCAGTGCCATCACTCATAAATCGTAGGCCATCCTTGACAATGTGAGCGGCGGTCTCGACAGCGTTGGGCGGTGTGAGGCCCTTGAGAGAAAGGTAAGCGACAGTGGCGCTGGCTGTAAAAGCCGAAAATAGCATGAAGATCGGAAAGCAAGGGGTGTGGTCCTTCTCGGAACCTGCCTCGACAGCGGTGAGTAGAGAGATCGTGCCGTGGCAGGAAGTAAAGAGCCGATCAATGATATCGTGACATCGAGCGTTGAGGCGGAATGACTCTAGGTTGAAGTTCACTGAAGTAACTTCCTGCAACAGCCGCCTTCGATGGACAAAGATCGTTGCGCAATGTAGGAGGCAATGAAGCATGGCAAAGGTGTAGCCAGAGCCCATCGTCATATGTAGGTTGATCTGGCCCGGCTTGTCCACGAACTGCATGGGCAAAGAAGCTCGGAGACCTTCAATCTTGGCAATTAAATCGCCACAGTCCTCTTCGCGGAAACTCGCGAGGGTAGTAGTGGTAAGCATTCCAACAACGTCACGCCAGATTGTCGAAGCCAAAACTATGTAACCAAACTCTCCAATCTCAGATGGTGGTTGGCCAGGTGGAACGGCAGTAGGATCAAGCTGCTGTCGCAGGGTCTTAACAAAGACAGCGTTGCCAAATGCAAAGTTGATGTCGGAGCAAGGCAAAGGCACATCTGCGGTGTCGAGAGAAGACAGTGCTGCAAAACGTCCCGGTGTGCTAGTTAGAAGGCAATCCAAGATGTAAATAAGCCAAACAGTACGCCGAAGAGATTCATCTCGCAAGAACATATCGCCATCGGGGGACGCATGATGGCTGTTCAAGATGCGATACATCTGAACCATGCGTGCCGCTTGCCCCAAGTAAATGTAGGCACGAACAGCATTTCGCGAGCCCCATTCGTGGATAATGATCAAGCACAGAGCCTGAATGTCGACGAGATTAGGATGGTCCAAGTTTTGGTTGATGAGGGTCATAGCCTTGGCAGCAAATGTCTCTGCAGCTTGAGTAGGGCCTCCATATCGGCGGATCAGACTCGGAGAACTCCTGCAGGCAGCATCATGTTAGCAGTGGGGACTTGGCATGAAAATGACGTCTAGATCAGTGACTCTAGGCATTGCCGCCATCGTAATGAAGGCAAAACAGGCTGTGATTCGGGATGCCTCGGCTCAAATCCGGTCTACGGCGTGTCGAAGCTCAAACCGGTGCGACCGTCACCGGACGGTGGATCCGCATACCGGGGAGTGAGGGATAATTTGGCATAAGGTAACGACAAAGCAAGAGCAACGTACCTGGCGGCACAAGTCAAAAGACCGTAGACCAAAGCAGCATCCAAGGACGCGCTCTTCAGCTGTTGTACAAAAGAGGGCTTGTGAAACGCAACACAGGCTGGAAATGTTTTCGATACAACACGTTCACACTCAGCGATCAGCTCGGGGGTGAGCCTATGAGCTACAGTTAGCAAAACTGAAGGAAACAGAGACTGCGAATGGGGTCTAGGGGGTGGCACGGCCCGTCTCAACCTCGAAGGCCTGCACTTCAATGACCCAAAGATCCAGAAAAGCTCCGGCGTGCTTCGTTGAGAGTTTGATTCAAGACTTCAGGAACCAAACGAACAATGAAATATTGACATATCAGAAACCGACTCATTGAGTCTCGAGGATACAAGTCTGTAGTTTCAGAGAAGACTCTGATGAGAATTCGGGGTCTCCCCGTAAGCCGACGGCGATAAAGTGGGTCGCGCGATCGGGGGGAGCAACCAAACAAGCGCGGGCGCGGGTGTGGTAATGAGAAATGGGGAACAGCGCAGGGATACGGGGGCCGGGTAAGGGGCTGATGGAGGCATGTCGAGTGGGCGGCTGGCCACTCGGGCAAGAAGACGAAGCAGCCTGAGGGTGCCAAAGTCTTATGATGAGACGAGACAGGGAAGCGAGGCGAAGATGACTCGTCTGCCGATCCGCCCGGGGTTAAGAAGAGCAGTTTGACAAGACAACTGGAAGATGCCGCACTTGTCGGGGCTGTTATGCTGACGCGCGACAGTGAGGGCTGTGATAAGATCCGAGTGTGGGGAAATAGGATGTCGGAGAATAGCAACGACACAAGAAATAGGACAGAAACAATAAGGAATGGACGACTTACTTATCAGAGCCTGTTTGAACATGACGAGCAGCGCTAGAGCCTACCACGGGCTGTCGCGCTTCAGCAACAACGCCAGGTCCTGCAGCAGGAAGACTGTCGCGAGGTGGCCGGTGAGGATTGGCGTGTCGCGCTGGGCTTTGGCCGTGGTGATGGGCCATACTCTCTGAAGGTAGATAGCAGTCATGCATTCCCTTTGCGCAGTTCTTGCATGGTGCTCTACCATTCTCATAGACGCACTTTGTCTTGCCCTTGCGACAACGCACGCAAGCACCACCAGCCCTGAGGGCGGTAGAGCGTACAACGCCAGACGACATGGTCGACGACGGCAGACTATTAGAACTGTGAGTCTGAGGAACGTTGGATCGCTGTAAAGGTATTGGTAAGTAAATGCTGCTGAGGATGATGAAATGGCAGCGAAAACGGTTGATGAAAAGAAGAAATTCTCGGGGTGGGCTCCGTGTGAAAATAACGGCAGAGGACCGGAGGGCCCCGTGTGAGGAAGGAGGAGGCAAGCGAGGCCGAACGGAAGGCACGCGCGAATTTGGGGGATTTTCGGGCGGCTGAATAAGGCGGGAGCCACTACCACGACTCCCACATAGAAAATGGTAGAAATCGAAGAGGAGCAAGACAAAAAAGAAGGGTATGTTGCTGCAGCGAGTTCAACAGAAGGAATAGCTTACGCACTTGTTAGGAAAGTCGGTAGGCGAAAACAACCGAAATAGCGACGCCGTGCGATCGGATGAAGGAGATGACCCAAGCCCGGGGCGATCAAATTGGGTCGGAGAGCCTCTACCTAAGTCCGGCTGTCCAGGCAATTCGCACACAATGTCCAGACAACAGCAGAAAAATGGAAATAGCAGTCTCAGACTACTATGAACAGTGGAAACAAGATCTTTCACAAAAAATATCGCGTGTCTGGGGCAAGATGGGAGGAAGTGGAAATGAAGAGGAGAAGGGGCGGAGGAAGCGGAGGTGACTGGCAAGGCAAAAAAGCACGAGAGGGCGACAAAGCGGACAGGACAGCCTGAAGACAAAGGCAGGAACATCATCAACAAAAGAGGCAGAAGAAACGGGGGACGGAGAACGGGAAACGGAGGAGAGCCACGGGGGTGTGTGGGTCGTAAACCGACAGGGCAAAGGTTGAAAGAAATCCACACCCGAACGTTACAGGCCTTTCCATTACTGAGGATAGAGCGATAAATCAACTGAGCTCTATCCGAAAGACAAGAATAACCCATAGGTGTGCGTCACACATTACAGCGTCTACATATCAACCCTATACCTGGGGAACCTTGAAGCTGAACAAAACATCGCCATTTCAACAGGTATCATTCAAGGTGTAGCTATTTTATTGTAACCCTCCATGGAAATGAAGCTTGGAAATCGTGCTCGGCCGCTGCCCGCACCGCAAACCAAACTCAGCGCTACGGCCTCTCGGCATCGGGTTTTCAAGGGGGCCGTAGTGCCATCGCCGTGCAATCACTGCAATGACTGAGAAGTCTAATTGGGTATATAAACAGAGGCGCAAGGCATCAGGTAAATGATGGAAAGAATCCATGAGTATATAGCAGGTGGCCATCTCAAGCCTTCACATGCTCTTCTTCTTGACAAAGATGTTCTGGTCATAAACATCTCATCCAGCTTCCGGGCTCCATACGCCGGCGTTTAAAACGGTAGCGGGGCCACCTACGGAGTCTACAGCAGCCTGATGGATCGAAACAAAGGAACAAGCAAGCAACCAAAACGCGGGCGCAAATAAGGTATTCAAATCGCGGCCAGGAACAAGATACGTACCTACTATAGGCGCATGTCACACGGTCCTGCGCAGGTCGACGCATGTAATTGTCGCGAGGTTTCATCACAGTCGCTACGATCTGACTATCCCCAGAATCCCCAGGACTGCTCACAATGGGCCTCTCATTTGACGGACAGCTTCGTTGATGTAACCGCGGTGGCATCAGCGGCAGCATTGTCTGCAGGGCCGAGGGGTCGTTTTTCGGTTGTTTTGGCGACGCGCCCCGAGCATCGGTATATCCGGGGTGTCGGTAACGTCGGAGTCTGTCCAGCATTGATTAAGCTTCATGTCCCTCCGATCATCACACATTGACCTTGGTATACATAAAACAGAAGACGTGAGTTCATTAAGAAGCACGGTTATTTTGTCGCCCCAACTTCAAGGTTGTGAAACTCGTAAAAGCTGGTGGCGATGCCGATTTCATTCACGCCGTCACCGGGGCCTAGTGGTTTTCATTTCCCCTTCCCGCAGGCCGAACCGCCAGAGGTTTTCCCCTGACATTTACCATTCACCGCCGATGTTGTTCCCCCGGACACTCACACAGTGCACACAAATTTGATGGCAGAATTGGCGGGTGGAGTGTTCGGCAGTCTCATGGGCTTGTGCATCGCTTTGCCCTCCGAGTCTGGGACCAGACCTTTTACTATCCAGTTCACCTCTCAAAGAATACTTGTTGGTGCTTAAAATACTGACCGGTCGATTATCATTCCGAAGTGCGAAAGAGATCTCTTTGTTTTCTCTAGGTAGGACAAGCAGACGCCTTGCTACGTCGCTGTCCTCAATATCGAAAGTACATGTGAAGCCCAGCCATTTGGTGTTACCGCAAAACACGAGCTATTCTGCTGCAGCATCACACATGAATAATATCACCAAGTGGTTTCAATAGCCGCCGCCGTGCCGTCCATGGCCTACTCCTTAGCCCTCGGTCGTGGTGACCACCAAGGCTAGAGCTTTGGAGCCTCAACATCCCGCGGTTGTATCTTTATGGCATTCACTCAACCCTTTCCCATATGTCACTCGCTTTTGTATACATACAGATAATGGCGACGATGTCTTATTTGTGCACTCTGCAGCCCTTTATTGGTTCCGGGCCGGCAAATAATGATCCGTGCCAGACCCGCGGTTATCAGTGCCCACTCTCTTCCCCTCCTTGTGGCAGCCTGCTTCGTCGGCGCGTGAAGGAGCAATAAGAAGATCATGTTTTCCTTCAAGACAGCCCTGTTTTCATCATCACACACGGGCCTCTGGATAAGTGGTCAGAATCACCTTATCCCTCGTACTTGACATGTCCTGTGGCACTTCCGGATCGCAATGGATGTGGCCGGACATGGTCCAGGTATTGTCGGGACTGTTACCTCCACTCCGCCCGGCGGCGCCAGCTTTCGAGTCTCCAATGCCAATGTCCACAGGACAAAACGGTTGCGTTTTCAGAGCGACGTTTGGGTCTTTTCTACGTTCACCCTCTCACAGAGACATGCGGCACCCACCCTCCGTGCCCCGGCCGACAATTTCGCCCATTCGCAGGCGCTTCCTCCTCTGGTGATGAAAAGGAGGCGTCTCCGGCAGAAGAATTACGGTGGGGCCGTTTCCGAGTACAGCACAGTATGGATATGATGCGGCCGCACCGTACCGTGACCATCACCGTTACCAAGTTTGGATGGAATGAATTCCTACGCGCCCGGTAACAAATTCCTTTGCCTGAGCCCTTTACAGTATATATAAGGATGTCTTATCTTGCTTCGCAGTAAAATCATAGAGCTCTGGACACTCACTCGCCGATGGTGCTGACTATTGCTGCCATGGTACTTCCACAACAAGGCCGGCAGATTAAATGCCAAAACGGTACCCACCTCCGTCTTGATCACGGAGAGGGCCGGTGTCATTTTGACAGGGGGCGGGGAAAGGGCTCAACGATCCGTGAGCTAACGCTTCAGGCCGAGCTTGTTCAGTGCCGCGGAATTTCGGAGATATCCTCTTCCGACCCGATTTCAAGCTCTTATAGAATGCTTGGCTACAGACAAGAACCAACATGTTGAACAAACAGAGATTCGTCCAGCTTGTTAAGCTGACCAGCTATCTTGTTGATGATTTTTGTTGGTTTCTACTGAAATTCCCATCATACGCTGTGTCATTGAAAATAGAACACATTTTCTTCCTCTTTAACATCTCATTTCATCTTGACAGAATGCAATTCATTTACGCCTTGGTCTCACGAACAGGAAGGGTCTTCTCCTTCTTGCCGCCCTCCTTCTTTTCGGTCTTTTCTGCTTCCTTGGGGGTCTCCTTGATGAAAGGCAAGAACTCAGGCTCGCCAGGAATATACTTTCGCAGGACCTCGGGCACAACGAGACCTTCCTCCGTTTGGTAGTTCTCAAGAATGCAGCACAGTGTTCGTTCAGTAGCACACAGAGTCTGTAAAGACGGATTAGCGATATGACCTCAACAAGCGCGGGGATCATCCCAACTTACAGCGTTCAGAGCATGGACATACTCCTTCTTTCCACCGCCAACGATCTGCTTGCCCTTCTTGGAACCGTGACGAATCTCGAGCTCTCTGGTCTGGTAGTCTGTGCAGTTGGAGCAAGAAACAAGCTCCTTGTATTCCTTCTGGAAGGGGAACCATGCCTCCAAGTCGTACTTCTTGGCAGCAGCATTGTTCAAAGCACCTGTGACGATACCCACAACCTGGTAAGGGAGACCAAGGGACTTGTAAAACTCCTCAGAGTTGGCCATCATTTGGTCAAACTGGTCCCAGCTGTCATCGGGGCCACAGAGGACGAACTGCTCAACCTTCTCGAACTGATGCACGCGGAACACGCCCCAGGCATCACGACCGTGGCTACCGGCCTCCTTTCGGAAGCAAGTGCTGTAGCCGCAGTACTTAATAGGGAGCTCAGAGGGCTGGATCCACTCCTCGGCATGAAGGGCGGAAAGAGGCTGCTCGCTGGTGGCAATGAGGTATCGATCCGACTCGGAAGGTGTAGGTCCTTCGGAAACACGGTAAAGCTCCTCGTCAAACTGAGAGAGCTGTGCAGTCTTGGCCATCTGGTCGCGGTTGAGCATGAAGGGTGGTTGATTAGGGGTGTAGCCTGCAGCACAGAATTCGTTAACAATGCATGATATAATATTGATTTAAGTATACATACCCTTGTTGAAGAGGAAGGCTGTGGCATAGTTGACGAGTGCAAGGTTCCTGTCATTGTCAGACATCGTTGTCGCCCTTCATGCCCTTCTGACTTACAGGAACATGCCGTAGCCGGTCAAGCAGTAACCTCGGTGGCCGACCAACTTGACGCCTCGAACAGGGTCGTATCCGCCAAGTCGCAGCAGCACATCGTGGTGAGAAAGAGCAGCTTGCTTGGTCTTATCGAAAGTCTCAGGCTCCCAGGTTCGCTCGATTGTGTTGTTGTCCTCGTTGTCGCTGACGTGGACCGAGTCGTGCACGTAGTTTCCGACGAGCTTTGCCTTGACTTTGAGTTCGGCATTCTTTGCTGCGGCAAGCTCCTCTTGGATCTTCTT